CTGGGAGGAGCCAACCTCTGTCAATAAAGTTAGATCACAGGCATCTTTAATTAAAGGATCAGAGAAAACGACCCGGAATGTGCCATCTGCAGATCTACTGGATTCCACAGTGCTCAGAGTAAGAAGTTTTGTTCCAGTGTATCTGAAGACGTGTGCATGCACATGGACGTTTACACCATGAATAAAACAGTTTTAGTCAATCTTTATCCCCCCTCCTGTATCCGGGGATACCCTAAATGGGAACTGGCAGGAACTGGATTTTGGCAAACCTTTTTTTTTTTTGTATACGATTCTTTAGATAGGGTAATTTATAAAGCTGGACGATTTTTAAAGAATTTAGTTATGAAATGGGGTTCTTTACTGGTAAAGCTTCATAAATTATACCTTCATAAATTCCCAATGTGCCCATGTTATTATTTTATTTTGCCTGCGAATCTGTTTCAATTAGTTCAGCTGCTTTTGACTGATGGCAAACATTTATACATTAACTCTTTTGGAAAGGGAAATCCATTTCCTCACAGTCGCCTTACAGAGACATTGGGTTCAACAGGCAACTCAGAACTCTTAAAGGGCATGTGATTTGTTTGTCTGGTTACAAGAACAGTCTTATGACTTACTTGCTGCCCTGTTTTCTGCTGGTGCCCTAGTCTTCTTGGATTTCCAGAACTATAATAAGCTAGATAATTTTCATTTAGCAATTATTCAACTGAAGGCCAGCTGTTAAGGTAATATGGTGGTTCTTTGGAAACTATACTTTTAAAAAATGCTTACTTGGACATACACAGAAGCATCGCTGTCACTAGAGCCATTCTGGTGCGGTGGTTAGAAGCGCAGACTCTAATCTGGGAGAACCAGGTTTGATTCCCCACTCCTCCACATGCAGCTGCTGGTGTGACCTTGGGTCAGAGCTGTTCTCTCGAGGGCAGTTCTTGAGAGAGCTCTCTCAGCCCCACCTACCTCACGGGGTGTCTGTTGTGGGGCGGGGAAGGGAAGGGAGAGTGTAAGATGCTCTGAGACTCCTTCGGGTATTGAAGGGAGGGTTAAAATCCAATCTCTTCTTCTTCTCGAATGGGATTACGTGCCTATCCACTTTTCACAGATTGCAATTTATTTGATCACTGTGCTCTGACCTTTTGTAAAGGAATTATAGCTGTACAATAACATCTCATCAGGCAACCAGCTGTATAGCCTAAGAGATTGGCAAGCCAAAAAGGTTGAGGAAAATGCCTCTTTTCTGTATGGGCCCCTGGATTCTTTTCAATTAATAAACTTATTAGATGGGGCGTCTGAAGCATTTGCTGATCTTGCAAATAATTGTTTTTTTCCAGAAAGGGTTATGGCACTGTCTGCTTAAAGAGCTACCATGATTTATCTGAAAAGTTTTCATAAACAGAAGAAGAGATTAGATTTACACCCCACCCTTCACTCAAGAGTCTCAGAGCAGCTTACAAACTCCTTTCCCTTCCCCTCCCCACAACAGACACCCTGTGAGGTAGGTGGGGCTGAGAGAGTTCTTTCAAGAACTGCCCTTTCAAGGACAGCTCTTGTCAGAACTATGGCTTGCCCAAGGTCATCCAGCAGCTGCTAGAGTAGGGAATCAAACCTGGTTATCCCAGATCAGAGTCCGTGCACTTAACTACTACACCAAACAAATATTGCACTGCTGTCTTAAAATGTCATCTTAAACTGCCACCACAATGCCAGGTTTTCGATATCCGAGCTTTTCAAGCCAATACTGCTTAATGAATACCCAATTAAGGGTTGCACAGAATGGGGATTTATCTGGAAACCTGGAGCACACGGACTTCTGTATGTCACCAGGACACTATTAAATACTGGCTCTTTGTATAACGGAGGGGGCCGCTGCTTCGTTCAATGGGGAATCAGCTGTGCTTTGTAAGTAGTTTCCCCCCTTCTAGATTCAGTCTTCTTCCTTCTATATTTTTAAACTTTTTACAAATGGGGCATTTTGAGTTATTACAACATTTCCCCAAACATGAGACACAGAAAGTGTTGGTCAGATGGTACTGTTTGGTGTAGTGGTTAAGTGTGTGGACTCTAATCTGGGAGAACCGGGTTTGATTCCCCCACTCCTCCACTTGCACTTGCTGATGTGACCTTGGGTCAGTCACAAGCTCTGGCACAGCTGTCCTTGAAAAAGAGCAGTTTGTGTCAGAGCTCTCTCAGCCCCACCCACCTCACAGGGTGTCTGTTGTGGGGAGGGGAAGGGAAAGGAGTTTGTAAGCCGCTCTGAGACTCCAAGTGAAGGGTTATTACTGTGCCCATTCTTGTAACTATTTTAGTCCCAAAATATGCCATGAAATTATCTCCCTGTAATAGTCTCTCAATATAAACCACGAGAAAAAACAGCCCCCGACGAAGGGAACACACACACACACACGTACATCGTCTCACAAAAAACAAAGTGTGCACCTCCAGGTCCCCCACTCTGGGGAGTGGCAAATCTGGAACTGGGAGTGAGGCCTGCTCTTTCTCCACCTTGCATGGGGGAAAGGGAAATAAAACCATGCCCGGGGTGGGGGGGAAGCCCCACCTGGTGCTCACAAGAGACTTTTACAGGCTACACCTTCCCAACACGGGGCTACAAGGATGAGCTCCTCACAACAGAGAATCTACTTACCCAACAAAACGTGTCACTCTCCGCTAATGTTCCCTCTAAGCTGTGGAGTCTTGTGAGCAAAAATTCTACTTTGTGAGCTCCTGGCATTAAAGTTGTGAGCGGGCGATTTGGCTACTGCATAAATTAGTCTGCTCTGGAGCCCCATCCTTCCTGAGTTAAGACAAAAATGTGTGAGCCGGGGAGGCTAAAAATTTGTGAGCTAGCTCACACTAACTCAGCTTAGAGGGAATACTCTGCTCCCAAAGTCTGGCCTCCTTTTCTGTTAGTTTTCCTAAAAAATTGTGCTGTAGGATCCCAATCAGCAGAATTGTGTCCTGGTCTTTAAAAGGGATGTGAAATTCAGGAAAATTTCAAGCTTCCTCAGTGTATCTGACAGTACTTTTGATGCGGAATGAAACCCCCAATTCTTAAATAGGCGCAATTGCACAGGAAACCTGTACTGACAGGCAGATACTGACAAGCGCCCAAACCACTTTAAGAGCACAATCTTAGGTGCATTTTACTCAAAAGAAAGTCACACTGACTGCAGTAAAACTCACTACAAGACAAGCCCGGGTACGATTACCGCCTCAAAACACTAACAGTTAATTAGAACATCAAACCCTTTAAATAATTCCCAAAACGGTCACACTCAGAAGTGAAGCTACTGGTTTTGATTTATTTTTTTATTACCCTCTCCCAGGATGGCTCAGAGTCGTGTCCACTCTTGCCCTCCACCATTTGATCCTCACAACCACCACCCTGAGAGGTAGGTCCTGGCAAAGGCTCCGTGGCAAAGGAGGGACTGGAACCGGAGTCCCCCAGACCCTAATCAGACACGCTCACCCTTCCCCCAAGTTCTTCCCGTTTCAAAACAATACTTACTGCGCTGACGTTTTCCAGTTCGTTAAAATACGACAGTTTCTGTTGGATGTTTTCGGCCAGTTCCACGAGTTCTGACTGGTCAAGAAGAAATTAAAGACGGTTAGCAGGAAGATGGAAGTCCACTGCACTCTATGGGGTCTTGAGCGGGCCCCTTAAGAGGGAGGACTGACCGGCACTCAACTGGGTGCTGCGTTCTGATCCAAAAGACCCTCTCTGGCCGTCCCGTGGTTCTAGGCTTGGTGCCCCCTGGCCCGTAGCTACAGCGGGGGGTACTGGAGGCCCCGCCTCCTTCCTTAAAGGCCCCCGCTTCTTCCCGAAAACATTTAAAGGGATCTGCTAAATGCTTTTAAGAAGAAGCAGGGGGTGGCGCCCAGTGTTCCCTCTAAGCTGAGTTAGTGTGAGCCAGCTCACAGTTTTTTAGCCTCCAGCTCACACATTTTTGTCTTAGCTCAGGAAGGATGGCTCCAGAGCAAACTAATTTTATGCAGCAGCCAAACTACCTGCTCACAACTTTAAAGCCAGTGGCTCACAAAGTAGAATTTCTGCTCACCTGATTCCACGGCTTAGAGGGAACATTGGCGCCCCCCCCTCTCCCTCCCCTCCTGCAGGAATTAAAGGGCCCTTCGGCTGATCGACAGGGAGCATGCGGCCTGCCGATCAGCTAGAGACCAGTGTTCCCTCTAAGCTGAGCTCGTGTGAGCTAGCTCACAGTTTTTTAGGCTCCAGCTCACACATTTTTGCCTTAGCTCAGGAAGGAGGGCTGGCTCCAGAGCAAACTAATTTATGCAACAGCCAAATCGCTCGCTCACAACTTTAATGCCAGTAACTCACAAAGTAGCATTTTTGCTCAAAGGACTCCACAGCTCAGAGGGAACATTGCTGGAGACTCCTTTGAGTCTTGCAGGAGGGGAAGGAAAGGGGCGCGCACCACCACCCCTTAATTGTGGCAAATAATGGCAGCCCCTCCAGAAAATTTTTTACCCCACATGCCAGAAAATCCTACCACCGGGCCTGGTCCCCCGACTCCTTGACTGGAGCAGTCACCGCATCCCACTCCTGCAATTTCATTAAACAGTGGCAGGAATTTGGGGGTGGAGGGGGTGAAAAGGAGGTGCACGCACGCACAAGTGGGAAAACTGCCTTCCCTACCCACAGCCTCTCCTCCCCGCGAGACTTGCCATGGCTCCCCTTTCCCGGTTGAAGGACCAAACAGGAGCAGGGAGGGGCAGAGCCAGGGACGTGGGAGGCCCAGCCGACTCCCTGCTCCGGTGGGGAACCAAGCCACGAGGGGCCTCCTCCCAAACTTAGCACCAACCTGGTGCCGGAAGAGCTGCATTCTGGGAAAGCAACAGAGCCAGAGGGTGGACTGCTTGGTGCCCTGGGCCCGTCTGCCCCTGCTTGAAGATGGGGGGCGGGGGCCAGGAGAATGGAGGCACCCAGCTGGCAGCGGCCAGATCCCCACTACGCTTCCACAGCAGCACCCTCAGCGTGACCCCCCCGCCTTCTGACCAGGCCTGTGAAGCCACGGGAGAAGCAGCTGCGCCGAAGAACAGCCCCGGCCTCTGCCCTCCACGAAAGCAGGGCCCAGAGAGGGTCTTTCACTCCAGAACTGGCTTTGACATTATTTTGATCCGGGGGACAAATCAACCCCTTTAACTGCCTAGCTGACGGGGCCGGCAGCTGCCTGGAGGAGAAGACGTCTGCGTCCCTTTCACGGGAGCTTCCTCCCAAGGCCAGGAAATCAGCCACCCGTGCCCGCAGATTAAACCCCTACTGAAAGAGGCAGGGCGTTTTTCTCCAGACCGGCTGGCAAACTGACTTCCTGGCCAAGAAGCAGAAAGGGGGGGCCCCCTATTCATCCAGCTCCCCCCCACTCAAAAGCCCCACGTGGCCCCACCCACTTTCTAAAAACAACTGGCAGGGACCAGAGAAGGTGTTGGTGGGCACTGGGGCACCATGAAGAAGAGGAGACTGGATTTATACCCCGCCCTTCACTCAAGAGCCGCTTAGAATCTCCTTTCCCTTCTCCTCCCCACAACAGACACCCTGTGAGGTAGGTGGGGCTGAAAAACAGCTCTGGGAGAATGGTGGCTTGCGCAAGGTCACCCAGCAGCTGCATGTGGAGGAGTGGGGAATCAAACCCGGTTCCTCCCAGACCAGAGTCCGCACTCTTAACCACGACACCAAACTGTTCATGGGAGAGGCAAGACTTGACTAGGGCCAAAAAAGGAGGGGGGGGGACTTAACTCTGAAAACTGGGAACCAGAACCTGAAGAGGGAAGTCAAACAGAATAGAGGGCCAACAATAAAAACTTAATGTAGATAATATAAAATGATACATTTTTGTAGAAAAAGTCCAGCAGGAACTCATTAGCATAATAGGCCACACCCAGCAGCAAAAATCAATTTGCATGTTAGGCCACACCCCCTGATTGCACCACTCATTAGCATATTAGGCCGCATTCCCATGTTACCAGAAGTGTGGTCATCCAGCCACACCCACCTTTTGCTTCTGTTTACCTTGTTTGTTGTCAAAACCCAGGGCCTTTTTTTTGTAGCAGGAACTCCTTTGCATGTTAGTCCACACACCCCTAATGTAGCCAATCCGAATGAGTTCCTGCTGCTGGGTGTAGCCTGTTATGCTAATGAGTTCCTGCTGGGTGTGGCCAACTCGGGAGCCAGCCGGAACTCCGTTCCTGTGCGTTCTTGCCCAGAAATAGCCCTGCGATGTATTTATTAGCAAAGAATTAAAAAACATATAAGGCCCCAACTCCATTGTGTGTAAGATTTTGGCATTTTTACATGAGGTGTGATTGGCCCCTTATATGTTTTTTTTTAATTCTTTGCTAATAAATACATGTATCTTTTTATATTATCTACATTAAGTTTTTATTGTTGGCCCTCTATTCTGTTAGACTTCCCTCTTCAGAGGCAAGACTTGAACCAGGGACTTCCTGATTCGCAGTGCGGTCCCTCAGCCACTCTACCACACTCGCTCTGACAAGCTGTCCTCCCTCAGCACAATTCTCTTGCTCGGTGGTTTCAAACTTCAGTGTCTGCACAGATCAATATTAGAGCTCTTTAAAAACTCTGTGAGACCCCTGAAGACAGAATGGGAAAAAGAAAATTAGCTAGGGCTGCGGTCACATGGAGCATTAGCCACACTACAGAGATGGAAGATAGGCGGATTTTCCGGGCGCGATCACACCGCCACATCTGGGAAGCGTAGAGCTCCCGTGGCGAGCAAACCCGAGGCTTCCCGCCGAAGATGCGTAGTTAAAAACTAGTACCTCCGAGGTACTAGTTTCCGGAAACCGCGGGACAAGGGCGGGCGTCTGATCAAGTTTCCGGTGGTGGCATCCGGCGCCCGCCCATGTCCCTTCGTAAACAGGGTTTTTTTCCCCCCCAAGTCTCCACAAGATGCGCACAAGCACCCAATGGCACATGCGCGCAAAGAGAAAAGCGAAAGTGCTGTTTTGGCTTTTTAAAAAAATGACGTTTGTCACGGCAGCAACGCCTAGCCATTACTGGTGTGATCGCGCCACACTGCTTCTTTGCCGCGCTGCAGGATCGTCATGTGATCGCCACCCTCGTTTACCCGCCGGCGCCGAGGGAAGGACCCGTGGTGTGCCGCCAGCACGTCTGATCGCGTAATCGCGGATCAAACTGCGCCGGGGCAATTAGCCACGCCGCCCCCCCGCGATATCCGGCCCATGTGACCGGGGCCTGGGTTGCTCAACTGGCACGGAAGGACTCCCAAGTATCGACTCCTGCCTAGGGGGGCCTGGGAACAAAACGCTTGGCTCCGATCCTTGTGGAGGAGAAACTCCTCCGGCCTCCTCTGACGTTACCTGCTCCTTCAAGAGCTGCTCACAGGCTTCGTGCAGCGTTCCTGTTTTGGTCGACACAAAGAGGTACTGCTTTTGCAACAACGCCAAGTGCTCAAGGGCGCGGTTCACGTCGCTCAAGATGGCATCACACTGCTCTTCGAATCCCAACAAATAAGCCCTCATCTGTCTAGAGAAAGAGAAGTTAAAATGCAGACAAATCCTTTCTGCTGGAGCAAAAAAAGGCTATAATAGAATAATGCAGAACGGAAGTCGACAAGGATCCCTGTGCTGGGGCGACATTCAAAGTTAAGGGACGGATGCTATCCTAATGTCTGTGTCAATCCTTCTACTCCACTCCTTGGCACACTGCTCCTGTACGGTGTGGTATGTTTGGGAAAGTATAAATCCCTTAGTTTACTAAAAGCAAAATCACAAATATATCTAATACTAAAAAGAGTTACAAAATATGGCATTCTCTGCTAGCTTAGCACAGGATTTTTAGTTTCTGCTTTATGAGAGGAGGAAAAGAGTAAAACGGCCTTTCACATCTCTGATACAGCCAGGCTCTCACACACCTAAGGCTGGAAACCTCTTCCTTGAAGAATTCAAGAAGAGCTTCTGGAATACGCTTTAGAACCACAAAATCTTTCAGTGGGAAGAAGAGGAGAATGGATTTATATCCCGCCCTTTACTACCTGAAGGAGGCTGAGAGAGCTCCTTGGAGAACTGCTCCTGAGATAACAGCTCTGAAAGAACTTGTGACTGACCCAAGGTCACACCAGCTGGCTTCATGTGGAGGATTGAGGAATCAAACCCGGTTCTCCCAGATTAAAGTCCACACTCCTAACCACTACAACCAGACTGGGCAGAGGGTAGAACAATAGGTTTATGTGAACCGATCTACTGAGCTCAGCATTTAACTTCATGAACACCAAACTGCTTTGTGAACTCGGTGGGGAGAAGTCATATTTAAGACGGTTTGGCGTAGTGGTTAAGTGCGCGGACTCTAATCTGGGAGAACCGGGTTTGATTCCCCACTCCTCCACTTGCACCTGCTGATGTGACCTTGGGTCAGTCACAAGCTCTGGCACAGCTGTCCTTGAAAAAGAGCAGTTTGTGTCAGAGTTCTCTCAGCCCCACCCACCTCACAGGGTTTCTGTTGTGGGGAGGGGAAGGGAAAGGAGTTTGTAAGCCGCTCTGAGACTCCAAGTGAAGGGCGGGGTATAAATCCAATCTCTTCTTCTTCTTCTTCTTAAAAGCAACCAAGGAGAAGCATCCACCTGGGAGCCAAACCAGTTTAAGAGCTGATTTCATTTCCTGGCTTTATCAACTGCACAAGCTTCCCCCACTACTGCAGAAGTTTCTCTTTTCGATTTGCAGACTCCGCCCAAACAGTAAAAGGAACCGGATTGCTGGTGGTCTAGCAAAAAGCATGGAGATGTCCAGCCCTCCTCTATATGATAAAGCCAAAACCAATCAACAGGCCAAGATTCCAAGTGAACAAAGAAATGGCACAACAATACAGACACAGACGAAGGTTCATAAAGGATGCTTAGCAACATTCTCATGAAACCGGGGGGGGGGGGGCCCTACGTGCGTTCACTTGGCGCCTTCATCTTCATCCATCCGGGTCTGTAGCTGAGCAAACCACGAGAAAAACTAGAGCAAAGGAAGCAAGAGAGAGCTCAGTTCATGACAATGACATTTGAAAACTCTTTCCATCCTGTTGTTTTAAATTTCAGAACAACTATCAAGAAGGAAAAGTGCTCTGCCAGGGGTCACCCCCACCCATACCGTAGAAGAATCAGGGGTGGAGATACAGGCAGACTGCTAAGCGAAAGCCAGACCAGGTAAGAAGTCGACCAGGTAAGAACTGACTGGGGTGGGTGGCCACTTATTAGCAATTGGCTCCTTTAACGCCCCAGAGGCTCCCTGACCACCTAGAACAGTTTTGCAGTGGAACAGAGAAACTCCCTCAGATATTTAAGAGTCGACCCATTACAACTTTGCAGCTGTCTGCTGGAGCCTCCCCCCCCCTCCAAAACCAGAACCTTGGAAGAGCCCTGCTAGAGCAGACCAGGGAGGGTCCATCTAGTCCAGCACCCTCTCTCACACAGTGGCCAGCCAGCTCCTCTGGAGGTTCCTCTGGAAACTACTGGAAAAGTGACGCGTATCGACAAGATGGTGGTACTTCAGCCCCCACAAGACATTCTAGGCAACGTCCTGCAGAATCCGAGCCGTAACGGTGTCAGGTGGCCCTCTCATAGGTCTGGAATGTGGAGGGGTGCTCCTCCCATTTTCTGTCTCAGCTCTCCCTGGCTCACCCTTTGCTATCTTATGCTTGACCTTGTAGATGCTCCAGCTGCAGTTTTACTTGGCTGGGAAAGTTAACGGCTTCTGCTTTGTCCCCGCACGCGAGATGTATCCATTGGCTCATGCTTACCGGGGGCGTGTTTGACTCTAGTATAAGTCAGAGGCCCTAGTATTGGCGGCCATTCCTGACACAAGCTGTACACGTGTCTCTAGTACTGGATTTACCAATAAACAGTTATCTTCTCATGAAGCCCTGTGTTGCGTAACCTGACAAAGGACCCTGACAAACGGTTAACGTGCTGGATTTTAACCTCGCTCTGACTTTCTGATTCAGGTCACCAGCAATGTTCCCTCTAAACTGTGGAGTCTTGTGAGCAAAAATTCTAGTGTGTGAGCTACTGGCATTGAAATTGGGAGCAAGCAATTTGGCTACTGCATAAATCAGTTCGCTCTGGAGCCATCCTTCCTGAGCTGAGACTAAAATGTGTGAGCTGGAGGCTAAAAAACTCTGAGCTAGCTCACAGTAACTCAGCTTAGAGGGAACACTGGTCACCAGGACCTTGCAGAAAGGAAAGTTGGCTCTAAGAAAGTGATCCTTCTGTGGCAGTCCTACTGTCCCGCGGCTCAGGATGCTGTTGAATGCAGGTTCTAGTAGGCCCCGTTTTCCCACAAGGCATCTCAAGAGTATGACAAAGATGAGCGTTTAGCAATCCTCCACTGCCCTCAGCGAAAGTGCTCCATTTCCACAACCTGACCTTACACTCAAGGCTACTGCTGACTGGTGCCCCTTACCCGATGGAACCCCAGCGGCAGGGCTGGGACAGCCACCCATAAGCCTGCCAGAGACTGTTGTGGTCTCTGCATCTTTAACCACAATCTAAAGCGGCCCCTGTTCAAGTGGCAATCCGAAAGGGGTGCATCGGACAACCATGGCAGGGCTGAGGGGCTTCTGAGGAGTTCGGACTGCGTACATGAAGCACCCCCTGCCTTCTTCCGTGACTGAACTGCGCGACCCAAGCTTAGCTGACCCTGTGATGGAACTAAGTGGAAACAGGGACACGAGATTCAGGAAGGAAGGAAGAAGCAAATACACACCCTCGGCCACAGGCCTAGAGCTCCCAGCCAGCCGGGATTTTATCTTCTTGGCTAACCGCCAGAACGGGGAAGACGCAAGCAGCAGGGAAAACCAAACCGCCAAACAGTTTGTGCTACTGAAGTGCATGTTTGCAAACAGAAATACAAACCAAGGCACCAAGTAGGTCTGGGGTCTATTTCGAACACTGAACACATACGGTACACACGTGCATGTGCCTTTAATGCTTGAGGCCAGGGAATGCACACAGTAGCCCTTTTCACAGGCTAAGGTGAATCAGTTTGGGGAAAAGAGCCTTTCATTTTGCAAATGAAACTGGGTCACAGGCCCTGGCTAAATAGGTGGTTTCAATCACATATTGAGCTGTACATGCACTGAATGTAACATGAGAATTACTCGGCACTTGTACAGAGAAAAACCCGGTGTACATTGCACTACCATTCAATGTACCTTGTGAACAGAAATTATGTTCCCCCATACAGCTAAAGAACGTAAGAGCATAAGAGAAGCCATGTTGGATCAGGCCAGCGGCCCATCCAGTCCAACACTGTCTCACACAGTGGCCAGAAATACCAGGTGCCATAAGCAAAACCAGAAAGGCCGAAAAATATAAAAAACAACCAGATACTTTCAGCAGCATTAACGATCTGGGGCTGTTTTAAAAATAAACTATTGCCACCCACATCCAGGTACCAAACATTCTTGAACCAATCCTGGTTCCCACCAGGTCTTTTAAACCCCAGTTACAACACATGGAAAGCAGCTGAAATCACCACACTTCATGATCTTATATACAGAAACTCTCTGTTACCAAAAATAAATATAGAAACAATAATTAAACACAAAATACCATGGTTCCAGTATTTCCAAATAACAAACCTAGCCAAACAACTCAAACTTGAACAATTATCAAAACAACCACGCACAGCATTAGAAAACATCATCAGGGCAGCCAAAACATCAGTAAAGGGGCTAATCTCCAAAACATATAAAACTTTAGCTCCTCTTGAAAACAAAACTCCTCCAACCTACCAGTCATATTGGCATAGAGACTGCAACATCCAACTACCAAACGAATCTTGGCACAAAATTTGGAACACACCTCCTTTTAAAACCAACATTTCTTCAATGAAGTTGCAAACATTCAAAATACTGGCACATTGGCATCTCACACCTAATAAATTGGCACAAATGACACAAACATACAATCCAAAATGTTGGAAGAACTGCAATATTAAAGGCACTTATCTGCATTGTTGGGTAACCTGCCCCAAAATCCTCCCATTTTGGGGAAAAAATCCTAACACAAATAAAAACCATTGACAAAATGGACATTACACCCACTCCAGAAAACTTATTTTTGAACAGTTGGGTAGCTCAGGACTCTGCTCTCTCAGTGGTGGGGAGGGTCTCCATACTGCTATTCGCAGCCAAGGCAGTCATTGCCACTCACTGGAAAACAACAATGACGCCCTCAATTTCACAATGACATAAGAAATTGTGGGATTTATACATTATGGCAAAACTCTCGGATAACCTTACGCGACTTGACAAGATTCCTATTCCTTCCTCCTTTGTAGCTATTCTGGTTCCCTATACTAGAGGACTTACAACAATTTGACGATACTCCTAAGGAAATAGATGCTTTACACCTCTGGTAACAAGTGAATTTGTATTGGTGCTTATTATCATTAAACACTGTTATTTGTTTAACTTTACAAAAGACTATTGTTAAGAAAGATAAGACACAATTGATAGAAAGTACGACACCTTAAATCCATGGTTAAAAGTTCATGTAGTTAAATATTTACAATGTATTTGCGTTATTTGTTACACAACCAACCAATAACCGTAATTGTATTGATACACCAACTTATATTTGTAAAACAATCTGTTATCAAATTTTCCAGTTCAATAAAAATGTATTGTATTAAAAAAAAACAAAAAACCCAGGCGCCATCAGGAGGTCCACCAGCGGGGCCGGAACTCCAGAAGCCCTCCCACTCCACAGCTTAGAGGGACCATTGTTGGTGACGCCACCCCCTTCCCCCAATTCAGGTGTCTGAGGCCCCTGCTGCCCTGAGAGGTGGAACACCACGGTGGCGGAGAGGGCGGGGTCAGAGGTATCCAGCAGCAGCGGGGAGGAGTCATCTGGATCTTGTGACATACACATTGCTCTCAGACACATGCAGACAAGCCACTAAATCTTGAGTAGAATCTGAACGTCCCCATCTCTGGCTGAGTGCATGCCTCCCACTGGAGCCACACCTCACGCAGCACCGCGGCCCCAGGGGGCCGTCGAGCCCACTGCTTGCTGACAGCAGATTGCGCAGCCACTGGGTAGGTGAAGCAGCACCCTTCGCGACAGTCAGGCAGCCTCCCCCGTGCTCAGCAGTGCCTTGCCAGTTTGGTGTAGTGGTTAAGTGTGCGGACTCTAATCTGGGAGAACCGGGTTTGATTCCCCACTCCTCCACTTGCACCTGCTGATGTGACCTTGGGTCAGTCACAAGCTCTGGCACAGCTGTCCTTGAAAAAGAGCAGTTTGTGTCAGAGCTCTCTCAGCCCCACCCACCTCACAGGGTGTCTGCTGTGGGGAGGGGAAGGGAAAGGAGTTTGTGAGCCGCTCTGAGACGCCAAGTGAAGGGCAGGGTATAAATCCAATCTCTTCTTCTTCTTCTTGCCCTTAGGCTCTTGCCTGAGAAACTCTCTCTTTGGGGAGGGAGAACTCTGCCTAGGGACAAACAGCCCCAGGTGCAAGGATGTCTCCTAGCAAAAGGCCACCAGGCTCCCAAGCGCCTGAAAATCAAACAACCAATTGTGTAATTCACGTGGATTCTCTCTGTTCTTTGTTACTGCTCTAAAGCTGAATGCGTCACTGTTGTTTTTACCCAGTCATATGACAATCCTCCTAAATGGGGAAGCGGAATACATTCCTAAACGCCCATTTTAGCACCTTTTGTTTTGCCTTGGAATAAACTTGGAATAAGAGTGGTCTTGAATACCACAACTGTTACTCACCTGCTGTGCTGTTTCAATTCTTTCATTTTCTATTCCCAAAGCGGAGAAGCCTTTCACCAGGATGTCTTCTGTGGATTCAGGCACTGTAGCTGTCAGTGTTACAGTCAGTGATGGCTGCCCCAAGCTGCTTAAATCTTCAATGGGAAGCTGTTTACAAAGAGATCAATGACTTAAGTGGACCTACTGAGCTTTGTAAAAAAAAGATTGGCTTTTTGTACCTGTTTTCCAGCTATAACATTCTGTGCACATGTATTCAAAGTCAGTTCTCAAACAGAGTTGGTTGTCAGTAAGTCAAGAATTTAACCACTAAAAACTCAAGACGACCATCCCTTCTTAGACAACAAACTCTAGACCAGTGATGGCGAACCTTTTAGAGACCGCATGCCCAAACTGCGACCCAAAACCCACTTATTTATCGCAAAGTGCCAACACAGCAATTTAACCTGAATACTGAGGTTTTACTTTAGAAAAACAACTCATACATTAATTTAAGATGATCCAAACAAAGGAAGGAAAGCAATCCCAAATGCTTTCATTTATTTAAAATTATTTGGCAGAGAATTCAGCACTTTAACGATGGTCTGGGCCTGGCTGGGGCGATGGCACGCGTGCCCACAGAGAGGGCTCTGAGTGCCACCTCTGGCACCCGTGCCATAGGTTCGCCACCACTGCTCTAGACCAACGCTCTGTTTCAACTTAATATTGCACAAATTAAGATAATACACATTGCACTTGATTCAGCAGTCGTTCGTCCTATCTAACATTCCTGGGTAAACCAGAAGAGTGACTTGAGATTATTTATTAATGTCAGGCAGAGTCAATTAGGAGCAAAAAACCTGATAACAGAAGAAGCACTCAGCACCATCACTTAGGAGAGGACTCTTCTGCCAATAATATCAGTGTAAAGGGTGCAAAATGAAACATGTATGCATTTCTGGTGCTCTAACACAGCCGCACAGCAACCATCAAACACACAAGCAAGCCCTCAGAATTCTGACCACCTAAAGGTACACATGTAGGATATGTATTGTAGCATCTTCAGCCACACCCTTAATCATTAGTAACTGCTCTAAACACGAGAAGGCTAACAACCAGCTCAGACACAGCATCAAACCACACTCCAGCACGGCATGAATGAGCCTTGGATCCGCAGGCTCCCAGCGCCCTGCAATTCCCTCTCCCCCTTTTCAGAGTAAGCCATCATTTGCTACTATAGCCAAATTGGCAAGTCATGATTTGTGCTTGCTCTCCGGTTCAACCACCGTTTTTACCATGGTTTCCAGTTGGGGACTGGAGAGCAATTTCAAACCAAGCCTCGGATGTAACAGCAAACAACAGTTCACCATAAAAAGGAGGGAAGAATGCCAAGCGTGTGCAAAAGGGAGAGGAAGCACAGTGGAGCTTTGCTCAAGTAAGCCCGAGCCCCAGTTTGACACTACGTAGCATGTCCAATCGGGACCTACATAGCAGCACAGCAACCGGGATGCTTCAGCGCTAAAGATGTTAACGTCCACATACCCTCTCAAGGAAAAGGTGGGAGGGAGGGGCCTGCCAACACAAAATGGAGTCATCTGCAGCACACAAACAGACTTAAATCACCCCTAAAGAGTGGAGGGGCAATCTAGGGAACCCCCTAGATTGGTAAAAGGCAGGGGTTTGCTGCTGCACCTTCCCCAGTAGTCCCAAGAGACACAGCTCGCAAAGAGATGTACCCTTTTTATTTACTGAGAGGAAATAAAGGGACAGAGTTGGCTTCATGGACAAGTCTCCTCATTTATTCATCGGAGCACTACAAAACTCTGAACAGATTCCGGTGGGCAGCCATGTCAGTCTGAAGTCCAGTGGCACCTTTAAGACCAAAAAAGTTTGATTCTGGATATACGCTTCCATGTGCACGCATATACACCTCCAAATCTTTAGTAATACCCAGAATTAAACTTTGTTGCATGCACACAAAATACCCAGAATTAAACTTTGTTGGTCTTAAAAGGTGCTACTGGAGTGAAACTCGGAACATAAAAGTCTTTCATTCTTAGTAAAGGTAAAGGTCTCCCTTGCTCGAAAGCCAATCGACTCTAGGGTTGCGGTGCTCATCTCCGTTTCCAAGCCGAAGAGCCAGCGCTGTCCGAAGACGTTTCCGTGGTCATGTGGCCAGCATGACTAAACACCGAGGCGCACGGAACGCTGTTACCTTCCCACCGAAGGTACTTTCTTGCAATTTCTTGCTTTCGAACTGCTAGGTTGGCAGGAGCTGGAACTAGAGACGGGAGCTCACTCCATCTTGTGGCACACTCGGGTCTCGAACTGCTGAACTACGGACCTTCCACAGCCTGCATTTCAGCGTCTTAACCACCAAAGAAGCTTCTCAAACAAAATCTTGAGTAGGAAAAAAAGCAAGATTTTTTACGGCCTTCTTTCCGTCACCTTTATAGTTTGCCAAAGCCATTGTTATTATTTATGTCATGCCACACAACTGCTCAGAGAGTCAGACTACGAACAGGGAGAGTGTGGTGGAGAGGGCCGTCAGATCACAGCCAAATGGGGTTTTCCAGGCAACAGATGAACAAAGATGGTTTGCCATGGCTTGCCTCTGTGTAGGGACCCTTGACTTCCTTGATGGCCTCCCATCCAAATAATGACCAGGGCGGGTCCTGCTTTTTTATCTTCCGAGATCCGACAAGATTGGGCTAGCCTGGGCCATCTGGCTAGGGCAGGCATCAGGAAGTAACAGTACAATATTCAACACGCAGTCAATTAAAAAAAAATGCAATGTTATCACTCCACAAAACACCTTTTGTTCTGCACTTCCTGTTACAACAGTGATAACAGCTAACAGCTAAACGCTGTGCTGAAAAGCTTCTGTACAGACCAGTTCTGAGCCAACAGGGCAGCATGCTCTCCGCATACGCTCAGAGGCTACCACTGGAATCCAGTGATCTTCATCTCTCTCACCGTGGCTGAGCACAGAGCAGCCTTTCCCTGCATGCAATGCTTTAGAACAGCAGTTCTCAAATTTTCTGACATGGGCCCCGCTTCTAAACTCACCCACCTGCACAAATAATTCTATAGTACTTCTCTGCTCCCCAACACACAACGCAAGACTCTCACACATCAGTTAACCGTGAGGGTAGGGGAAAGGGAGAGATGGAGCAATTTGCCCAGAGCCACCTAAGCTGCTTGCAACAGGAAGATGGATTAAGTGAAGCACCATGTTACACCAGTTTGGTGTAGTGGTTAAGTGCGCGGACTCTAATCTGGGAGAACCGGGTTTGATTCCCCACTCCTCCACTTGCACCTGGCTGGATGACCTTGGGCAAGCCGTAGTTCAGATAAGAGCTGTTCCTGAAAAAAGAGCAGTTTCTGTCAGAGCTCTCTCAGCCCCACCCACCTCACAGGAGGGTGTCTGTTGTGGGGAGGGGAAGGGAAAGGAGTTTGTAAGCCGCTCTGAGACACCTTTGGGTAGTGAAGGGCGGGGTATAAATCCAATCTCTTCTCCTCTTCTTCTTATTTAATTCAGGGCATAATGGCACGAGCTGGAGGCTGCAAGAATGCGTAGAGGATATTGGATTTATACCCCACCCTTCCCAGAGGAGTCTCAGAGCGGCTTACAATCTCCTTCCCTTCCCCACAACAGACACGCTGTGAGGTAGGTGGGGCTGAGAGAGCTCTGACAGAACTGCTCCGAGAGAACTTGTGACTGACCCAAGGTCACCCAGCTGGCTGCATACGGAGGAGTGTGGAATCCAACCCGGTTCTCCTAGACTAGAGTCTGCACTCCTAAGTGGTACACCAAACTGCCCCTCAGGAGAAGAGGCCGAGCTGTCCATCTGCAGGCCTAATAGTGTAGCCAACCCCAGGCTGGGAGATTCCTGGAGATTTGGGGGGTAGAGTCTGAGAGAGGGCAGGGTTTCAATAAGAGAGGGGGCCTCATCAGGGTAGGATCCCCGAGAGGCCACCGCCCAAAGCTGCCATTTCCTCCTGGGGAAATAATTTCTGCAATGTTGAGATCCACGGCAATTCCAGGAGATCCCCAGGCCCTGGCTGGAGGCCGGCAGCCCACCTCCAACAGAGGCCCCACTACCACCACACCGCACGGCTGAGCTTCCATCATGCACTGTGTAGGCATTTCTAACGCTGGTTTTAAGTTAAAACTATCGATGGCTTTTGTTTCCTCCTTAAGCCGCCCTGAGTCTTGCTTGCAAGGAAGGGCGGCCTAATAAATCAACAGTAACTTGAGCTGCGGTGGCTCAAGTGGTTAAGACGCTGAACTGCAGGCTGTGGAAGGTCGGTAGTTCAGCAGTTCGAGACCCGGGTGCCGCATGACAGAGTGAGCTCCCGTCTCTAGTTCCAGCTCCTGCCAACCTAGCCGTTCGAAAGTAAGAAAGTGCAAGTAGATAAATAGGTACCACTTCGGTGGGAAGGTCACAGCATTCCGCGTGCCTCGGTGTTTAGTCATGCCGGCCACGTGACCACAGAAACGTCTTCGGACAGCGCTGGCTCTTCGGCTTGGAAACGGAGATGAGCACCGCAACCCTAGAGTCGGACTCGACTGGCTTTCGAGCAAGGGAGACCTTTACCTAACAACAACAACATGATGATGATGGCAATTCCCGCCCCCGCACGCCTTGGCGGAGCAGGACTCGAACCCAGCGCCCTCCCCCTGGCTGGCCGCCCCTCCCTCACCTCCGGCGGGGCGGGCGGGCAGAGGAAGGCCTCGCGCAGCTCCACCACGGAGTCGCCCTGCCGCTCGCTGAGGGGCGCCAGAGGCCGCGGGGGCCGCTCCCACAGGCCCAGCCGCTCCCGGATCTCCGCCGGCAGCTCCGCCATCCTCCGACTGCCGGAACGAGCCTCCCCGCGGGGACGGGGGACAAGGGCGCACCGCGGGGATCGTCACTTCCCGTCCCGGGAGGAAGTGGCTGGCAGCGGAAGTGGCCCTCGGGTCGCGGGGCCGAGGTCGAGGGACGCTCTGGGCACGGCTTCCGGGAGGCGTCGGCTGTTCCTGGGAGGCGGGGCGGAGGCGCCCCGGGGCTGCGTTCTATTGGGCGCTGGCTCCCAGGTGGGCGGGTCTTCGTGGGGTCTCGTGGCCGCCTTCTTTCCCCGGGTCTTGTTCTTCCTGGTCTTGGGAGGCAGTTGGGTGTCGTGGTTAAGTGCAGGGACTCTAATCTGGGAGGACCGGGTTTGATTCCCCACTCTTCCTCCACTTGCACCTGCTGGATGACCTTGGGCAAACCACAGTTCTGATAAGAGCTGTCCTTGAAAAAAGAGCAGTTTCTGTCAAGAGCTCTCTCGGCCCCGCCTGCCTCACAGGGTGTCTGTCTGTTGTGGGGAAGGGGAGGGAAAGGCGTTTGTAAGCCGCTCTGAGACACCTTTGGGTAGTGAAGGGCAGGGTATACACCCAATCTCTTCTTCTTCCTGTCCATGAGCTTTGCTCTCCCCATTCCTCCCTGTGGAGGCTACTAAAAAGCCCAGCAGCACCTTGAAGACTAACAATGGCTTTGCATTCACTAACAAACTTCACTGTAGCATAAGCTTTCGAGAAACACAGGTCTCTTCATCAGGTGCATGGAGGGTAGGAAGCAACTGGCCAGAGATATACAGGTGTTAAGGGGAGGGGGGGGGGAGAGGCTGCAGAAAGTGCCATGTCAATGCAGAGCCAGTTTCTTCATACCCTCCATGCATCTGACAAAGAGAGCTGTGTTTCTCAAAAGCCTATGCTGCAACAAAGTTTGCTAGTCGTAAAGGTGTTACTGGGCTTTCCCTCCTGAATTTCTTAATTATATATCATCAGTAGATATACTGTTCCAGATGACCTGCTTCAACATACAGGGATCAGGACCCACATACGCTAATGGATGTTTAGAGAGGATGCATTAATAGACGCCACACTGATCTCCCAATCAAGGTTTGCTCCATGGTGTAAAATAATTGAAAAGGACCATTCAAGAGCCTTTTACTTAAACAACATAACCTGGTATAATCTCAGATCGCTTACTTCACTGCGTTTTCAAATGATGCCTTTGGAGAGGTTAGCTGGTTGCTATTCAAAACTCCAGTAGACCAACATAACTGTATATGCGAGCATGCAGTGGAAGACCTTCCCCACTATATTCTGGCCTATCCTTTCTATGTAGGACCCAGGGCCAAATATTTAGCAAATATATTGACAGCCCTATACCCCCTGTCTGATTATGATAAGATGGCCTTTATGCTCTCAGATGAGGACCCTATCATCTCCGCAAGACTGGCTCTTTTCGCCACTGAGGGCACCTGGTATTTTTGGCCACTGTGTGATACAGAGTGTTGGACTGGATGGGCCTTTGGCCTGATCCAACATTGGCGTCTCTTATGTTCTTATGTTATGTATTGTGAAGGCCTATGGCCACGTACAATAAAATTACTCTATTCTACTGGGCTTTTTATTATTTTGCAGCAACAGACTAACACAGCTAACTCCTCTCTTTCAAGGGTAGCAGCTAAAGCGATCTGTGGATGCTTGAATCCAGAGATCTGGGCCATGAACAGACCGAAACAGACCTTTTTACAAACCTCAGAAAAGCAAACTTTTGATGGCTGCCCCCCATGTCTGAGGGAGGGAGAACTGGAGAGGGCAGGGGGCGGGTGAGATAAAGGTAGATTGGCTGGAGGGTGGGGAGGAGAAGGAAGCAGGCAAGGGGGAGAGACTATCAGCAGGGGTCTTTTTGTAGAAAAAGCCCAGCAGGAACTCATTAGCATAATAGGCCACACCCAACAGCAGGAACTCATTAGCATATTGGGCCACACCCGTGACAGCACAGCTCATTAGCACATTAGGCCGCACCCCCCATGTTACCAGAAGTGTGGTCATCCAGCCACACCCACCTTTTGCTGCTTCTTCTGTTTACCTTGTTTGTGGTCAAAACCCAGGGCCTTTTTTTGTTGCAGAAACTCCTTTGCATGTTAGGCCACACACCCCTAATGTAGCCAATCCTAATGAGTTTCTGCTGTTGGGTGTGGCCTATTATGCTAATGAGTTCCTGCTGGGCGTGGCCAACTTGGGAGCCAGCCGGAACTTCGTTCCTGTGCGTTCCTGCCCAAAAATAGCCCTGGCTATCACAGCTTTCAGGAAAGGGGAAGTGGAAATAGTGGGGAAGGGGGAATTGAGACCCCCCCCAAGCTTTTGCAGGTCCCCCTACTTGAACAGTGCTTCATCTCCCCCCCCCCTGCAATTTCTTCCAATCTTCCTTTGTTTTTGAAACCCAGGATGGCTTTCATCTCCTGGCTTTCTGCAAACTATGCAGAACTGAAGACGTGTGCATGCACACTATTAAATACTGGGTTCAAGACGCATTGCCGTGAACAGCTCTACTTTATTTAGTGATTTCAGCAAGTACGAGACTAAAACCCCAGGGCAACAGCCCTGTTTAAATAGCATGCACAAACCACACCCAAACACACCCAACTCCCAACGATAGGCTATTTACATAACATTACATCCTCACTGGTTGCCTCTAGAATCCTGAATAATCTAGAATATTGTTCAAGGGCTCCAAGCTCAGCCCGTCTCTGATGGGCAGTCCTGGGATGTTCCAGCCCCAATCCGTAACACACGCACGGAAGCTGAGACCCGGAATAAAACTTGGTCGGTCTCAAAGGTGCCGTTGGACTCAAACTTTTTTGCTCTGCTGCTTCAAACCACCACGGCTATCCACCTGAATCTATGCAAAGCTGAATTATTTGAGAGGGCTTTTCTACGCAGGAACTAGAGTTGTACAATATACTTGATGATTCACAAAGTTACTTAGATAGGTTACTGGGGACTGTGGCCTATGCTGCTGTGTTGAGCTTACTGAAACGAGGAATCCTATTGTGTGCTTTTTGTGCCCTGCTGACATTTGTGCTGATGCTGTGCTTCGGGTCTGTTTTTAGATTTCTTGCTCTCCGTGTATGTGCGTGTGCGCCTGGAAGTCCCGGTTGACATCTGGCGACCCCTAGCGGGACTTGGGTGTTTTAGAGAGCTGGTGCCCCCCGGGAGGCCCTGATATTCCTTGGAGGTCCCCCTTCCAAGTACTTGCCAGGGCCGGCTCTGCTTAGCTTCCGAGATCTGACGAGATCGGACTTCTCTGCGCTATCCAGGTCAGGGCCTGTTTTTTAGACTTCTAATTGGTTCCGCAACCCAAATCGCACTGCATTGTTTATTGAGTGTCCCCGCCTGTCTGTGTAATCCACCTTGACTCCAAGTGAGAAAGGATGAGTCTTGACTCCAAGTGAGAAAGGAGGACTGTAATACGGGAGATACATTAATAAAATTTCTTGTCTTCTCGTTTGGACGCCTGCCCTGGGTGGCCCAGGCGACCCTCATCTCATCAGCTCTGGGAAGCTAAGCAGGGTCAGCCCTGGTTCGTATTCGGATGAGAGACCACCGAGGGAGTCTGAGGGTGCCACGCAGAGGCGGGCAAAGGCAAGGCACCTCTGTTCCTCTCTCGTCGGGGGAAAGCCCTACAGGGTGGCCAGAAGTCGGTGGCGACCTGCTGGCACGTCCCACCACCATGGACGCACAATTGCTATGTAAACGTCATCACTATATTCCCAGAACGCATCCCAATCCTCTCGAACCACAACAGAACTTTATTAGGGTCCTTTGTCCAGGAGAGAGAACACGTGGCGGCACACATGGACGAAGGGGCCTCCTTCTGCCTGGGCTCCTCTCTCTCTCTCCCCCCGAGACTCTTCCCTTTTCAGCAACTCTCCGGCTTCTTCGCTTCCTTCTCTGCCCCGGGCAAGAGAGCAGACGCCACCTGAGCCAGGGCCTTCTTCATGGCCTCTTGGGCAGCACAGTGCTGCAGCTGCAGCTTGCTGTTCTCCTCCCGGAGTATTTTGTTCTCTTCCTGGAGTGTGTGGAAGGTCTCTTTTTCTTCCAGAAGTGCCTGGTTCTCTCTGAGGAGGGACGGCACAAGCTGGTTCAGCTTCTGCAGAGTCAGGAAGGCCTCATTCTCCTCTAGCGGAGACACAGGAGTTTTGTTTCTCTCGAGGGCCGGCAAAGTCCTGCTCTCCTCCGGAGAGATTTCTGAGAGGGCCGTGACTGCCTGAGGCAGGGTCACTTTGGTGCTGTTTTCTTGGGCTGTCACAGCCTTGCTGGTTTCGGGGACCGTCAGCACTCTGTTCCCTAATATCTGGACAGTGAGTTTTTCCTTCTGGAGAGCTGGAATAGGTTTCTTCTGCTCAGGGAAGACCTCATCCGGGGAGATCTTCAGAGAGAAATTGATTTCTGGAAAAACCTGGAGGGCTTTGTTCTCTTTCCGGAGAGCCCTGTTCTCCACCTGCAGAGCCTTATTTTCTTCCCAAAGGGCCTTGTTCTCTTCCCAGAGAGTCCAGTCACCACGGATCTCCTCACCAGTGTGTTTCTGGAGGTTTTCTGGAGAGGAAGAGAACGCTGACTGGATGTAGGTTTCGTTCACCCACTTGCCACCATCACACAACTTGACCGGCGGTGGGATGTAATCCATTTTCACCTTCAAGCAGCTTTCTTGAAATGATTAAAAACAGATTGGGGGTCCAGATGACTGCATGACCTACAGAGATTCACGTGGAATGATTTTCTTTGGGAAGCCAGCAGGAAATACGATTCACAGCATCACTGCAACACAACAACAAACCAGGGACCAAAACGCATCAAATTAGCATCAAACAAGAAACTACTTATGGTTCAGAGAAGAGATCATTTATATTAAGCAAGGAAGGTAAAGGTAAAGATTCCCTTGCTCGAAAGCCAGTTGAATCCGACTCTAGGGTTGCGGTGCTCATCTCCATCTCAAAGCCAAAGAGCCAGCGCTGTCTAAAGACGTTTCTGTGGTCATGTGGCCAG